GTGTGTCTGAAAGTACAGCCACCATAGCCTAGTGGCTGCATCAGTGTGTCTGAAAGTCAGCGCTTCAGCCAGGGGTCAAGGGCCCTCACTTCACTGGTCAAATTTGGGGATCTGAGGTAACTATCTGGGGCAAAGCCAAGAAATAAAATCTAGTATCTCATATTTTGTATCCATGGTGTGGACCGTCTCGCCTGTTATCACTTGTTTCAACTATAGGTGTGATATCTGGCATGTGTTAGAGGCACATATGGTGGAGCAAAGAATTGTAACACCAGCTACCCCTACACGAGTAGTGTAGCTACAATACCTATACAACCATAGAAATGATGTAGCACAGGTTTTACAGAGGATGCATCAACTACAAGAGGGGGACAGGCGTGTGGACAAGGGGATGCATCAACTACAAGAGGGGGACAGGAGTGTAGACAAGGGGATGCATCAACTACAAGAGGGGGACAGGCGTGTAGACAAGGGGATGCATCAACTACAAGAGGGGGACAGGCGTGTAGACAAGGGGATGAAGAAACAGAATTATATAAGGTTCTCACTGACTTGGTCCATCTAACCAATGTTAAAGTTCTCAACGGTTGCACCAGTTTGAGAGAAACATGGAGATTATCTCCACTCTATTACTTTCAAAGACTTAACTCAAAGAAAGAAATGCCACCACCTGGGTTAGTCAGATTTCTGAAGACAGAAGTCACCACAGAGTCAATCACATGCTGTTTGGGCCTGACAGGTTAACTGTTTCACTGGGCGCAGGATAGGCAGTGGTTCGAGGCTTGAAACTCATGGACTGGAAGGAAAAGACAATATTGATTCTGATGTGGCTCATGTGCCGAGGTATAAGAAAAACTAGACAATATTGGTTGTAATGTGACTCAGTTTGCTGAGGTATACGAAGGACTAGACAATATTGATGGTGATGTGGCTCGGTGTGCCGAGGTATAAGAAAAACTAGACAATATTGGTTGTGTGTGTGGCTCGGTGAGGCAGAGGACAGTCTAAGTCCAAGAAAAAAATGCCAAAGGTAGTAGTAGATTTTACTCCACTAGGTCATCACACAAAGTGCACCATGTGGATGAGGATCACCCGTGGAGAGGTCCCTGAAACCGCGTTTAGCCATTAGACCCTATTTATAACCGGGCTATATGTGGCCCCTAGGAGGAGCCAGGGTGGGGCTTCAAAATAACGAAAAATTGTATCTCACAAAGAGATGAGAGATTAATTCATACCAAAGGCGCATGTATTCAAACAGTGCAGCAGCAGGTGTGTCTAAAGTATGAGGTGTTCACTTAGACCATGGCACCAAGTGGGATCACCAGTTGCCTGACGACCGAGAAGCCTTTACTTCTGACACAATTCCCAGAAAACGATCCGGTATCTGTTCCATCAGGCTGGGTCAACTGGTCGATCCTAGATGGTTGAAAAAAACTTTGTCGCTGGGAGCAGGCAGTGGATTGGTAGAGAAGCGAGCTAACCGCTGCACTCAATATACTGATGGTTCTAGCTGAGTTATCGGCCGTCCCACGGGAACCAGCATATGATTGCATCAATACTGTGTATCCACTGTTGATGGGGGAGACAGAATCTCTACATGTTTGACCGGAGTGATACAATCATACAGTTGTCAATTCTTTATCAACCAGAAAAATACTGGGGGATAAAACCATACTGGAGAACTATGAAAACTTACCTAATATCCCAACAGTGAAAATTATCAACAACTGCATCACTCATGGTAAAATCAACACACAAGAGTATAATACGACTTTCTATTCGAAGATGTCCAACTTGTGCAACGAAGAAAAGCTAACTGTATGGCATGCAAGAAACTTGACGAATGTACGCCAACACACAAGGTCACGTGTCAGGGTCAGATTTTATAATAGTGTGTAGGTTTGTGGGTCAGCGAGTGTCATCAGCTGTGACGGAGCTTCGTTTGTCTGCTTTCATTTGCCGTTAATCTGTCCCTCTATGTGGCGTCATATGTTTGCTTTTCACCTGAGCCGTCTTGGCCAGTCCAAAGATCTAGGTGAAAAGAAATTATCCAATGTTAGAATCTGTCAAAGTGACACAATCGGAGTACCTGCCCCAGGTGGTGGCGTGTCAGGCGCCGGTAGCTACCACCCCAGGTGGTGGCGTGTCAACAAGTCGCACTGGCAAAAGGTGCCCTATGGCGTGAATAGATAACAAAACCGTTGGTTGTGTTGACGGGACAGTGACGGCTGACCACACACTACACTTCCAGTCCTGGGCCGTGCCTGACTAACCGCTTGTAGATACGGCAAGTTGGGAAAGCGAGGGGGTGGGGGGGAGGCGACTCTCAGTATGGAGACGGTACTTGGTTGGGTCGGTAAACCGAATTTCGGTTGATGCTGACAGACGTGCCAGCAACAACATCGGCGTTCAGAGATGTTCTTATGTCAGGCTCTCACTACTTGTGATGTTAACATGAACGTGTCCATGAACGTAATCGTCAGGCTCTCACTACGTGTGATGTTAACACAGTCCCGCTGCCGTGTCCATGAACGTAATCGTCAGGCTCTCACTACTTGTGATGTTAACATGAACGTGTCCATGAACGTAATCGTCAGGCTCTCACTACTTGTGATGTTAACACAGTCACGCTGCCGTGTCCATGAACGTAATCGTCAGGCTCTCACTACTTGTGATGTTAACACAGTCACGCTGCCGTGTCCATGAACGTAATCGTCAGGCTCTCACTACTTGTGATGTTAACACAGTCACGCTGCCGTGTCCATGAACGTAATCGTCAGGCTCTCACTACTTGTGATGTTAACACAGTCACGCTGCCGTGTCCATGAACGTAATCGTCAGGCTCTCACTACTTGTGGTGTTAACACAGTCACGCTGCCGTGTCCATGAATGTCGTAATCGTCTCCAATACAGAATGCTTACGCGACAATATGACTGAATGACCAAGCCACCGTGTGACTTCCGGGGACTCGCAGGGGAAGACAACCAGAGCCGCCGACCTAAATAAACATGTCAGTTAGCGCACCGCCGTTCTGACGCCTATAGAACATCGGACATATGGTGGCTGATACTTTCACAGACCAATCATCAGCCATGAGTTTGAAGGCAAACGATTCCGATTAGCAAACCCATAATTAGTCGTCTGTCACGATAGATGGGCTATTGCTCCCCCCCCCCCCCAACACGGCACCAACCTCAACCCCCGGGGGGGGGGGGGCGGACAGACACAACTGTAACAGCTTATCGAAAGTGTTTGGTCGTTGAAGAAAAAAATTTCAGCTGGTAAATTCACATTATATGTCAAAGTTCAGTTTGAATTCGTACCCACGACTTTTGGATTCTGCAGCTAACCACGTTCTAACCACTACACCACGATTGCTACACATTAAATGACTGACATAGCATTGTTTGGTTTGTGCATTAAAAACATAGCTGAATGTAAACAACGGGGTTGGCGAGATGTATGTGTTGTAAACAAGCTACGATTTGCAGATGACATTGTTTTAGTCACAAATATTAAATACAGCTACAACAAAACATTGGATATACTTGTAAGAGACAGTCATAACCAAGATTTTAGTTTGAACAGCGGAGAAAAAAAAATTATGTCTACTGACTGTAAGGAAAATATTCACCCCCCCCCCCCCCCCCCCCCCCCCCCCCCCCCCCCCCCCAAAAAAAAATCGACAGAGTAAATGGGACCAGCTAAAGCAAGTCAATATCTGCAAGTATTTAAGTACCCTGATGACAACAGACAGAGCATGTACTAGAGACGTGAAATGCGCACTAGCCTGAAGCAAGTATTTAAGTACCCTGATGACAACAGACAGAGCATGTACTAGAGACGTGAAATGCGCACTAGCCTGAAGCAAGTATTTAAGTACCCTGATGACAACAGACGGAGCATGTACTAGAGACGTGAAAATGCGCACTAGCCTGAAGCAGAAGCATCATTTCATGGGATGGAGAGACGTCGAGAAGGGGTGCTGATGACTTCTGACCCTTACACTTGACACGCCAGTAGGTAGTCTGAGAACATCGTTACTTCTGTGAAGTTTTGCTCCACGTTACTCGTGTACACTATTAACCTTCTCTTCCAGCCGAATAAAACACATCAAACATAGAAAATGGAATAAATAAAGGCAGAATTTTTATTTCAAACGAAACTGATGCTCCTACCTTCTAGACAGACCTGGTGGAAGAGAAGTGCATTGAGTTCTAGAAACAGTCTACCATGTCTGCACCCAGGCGATGTTGTTGAATCAATGTGGCCAGGCGTGTGTAACAGGTCAGTGTACTAGTCCGGATATATTCCTCAGGTAATCACTGAGATGGGAGACACAAGGGACATCATTACAACATGACCCGACAGCAAACAATGGTAAAATAGAAGGAATACAACATAACCTGGCAGTAATCAACAACAAACATAGGCAGCATACAACATTATCTAGAGTCATGAACCATATATACAAAATACAATATTTTTTTGGCATATACACAAACACTACTAGTCCGTACAACAGAAGCGTTTCCACAAATGTTCAACTCCTGTTTCAGGCTGCAAGGGTTTCATGCTGGAGGATAACCACATGTCAGTCTGACTGGCACCCCTCCCCCCGGCCCTCGCAACAGTGAGTGAATGCTGAGGTCAGGTCAAAACTGCCACACTGATATGGACATTTCCTGTGTCATCCTGTTAGCCCTATATCTGTCCTTTGTGGTCGACACAGAGTCATGAACTGGACATTTCGTAGGCAACAGAAAACCATGAACTGGACATTTTGTAGGCAACAGAGAGCCATGAACTGGACATTTTTTTAGGCAACAGAGAGACATGAACTGGACATTTTGTAGGCAACAGAGAACCATGAACTGGACATTTTGTAGGCAACAGAGAGACATGAACTGGACATTTTGTAGGCAACAGAGTTATGAACTGGACATTTTGTAGGCAACATAGAACCATGAACTGGACATTTTGTAGGCAACAGAGAGACATGAACTGGGCATTTTGTAGACAACAGAGAGTCATGAACTGGACATTTTGTAGGCAACAGAGAAACATGAACTGGACATTTTGTAGGCAACAGAGAAACATGAACTGGGCATTTTGTAGGCAACAGAGAGCCATGAACTGGGCATTTTGTAGACAACAGAGAACCATGAACTGGGCATTTTGTAGACAACAGAGAGCCATGAACTGGACATTTTGTAGACAACAGAGAAACATGAACTGGACATTTTGTAGGCACACAGAGAAACATGAACTGGACATTTTGTAGGCAACAGAGAAAAATGAACTGGACATTTTGTAGACAACAGAGAATCATGAACTGGACATTTTGTAGGCAACAGAGAGCCATGAACTGGAAATTTTGTAGACAACAGAGAACCATGAACTGGACATTTTGTAGACAACAGAGAGTCATGAACTGGACATTTTGTAGACAATAGAGAACCATGAACTGGACATTTTGTAGGCAACAGAGAACCATGAACTGGAAATTTTGTAGACAACAGAGAACCATGAACTGGAAATTTTGTAGACAACATAGAGTCATGAACTGGACATTTTGTAGGCAACAGAGAACCATCAATTAGACATTTTATAGGCAACATAGAGTCATGAACTGGGCATTTTGTAGGCAACAGAGAACCATGAACTGGGCATTTTGTAGACAACAGAGAACCATGAACTGGGCATTTTGTAGACAACAGAGAACCATGAACTGGAAATTTTATAGACGACAGAGAGACATGAACTCAACATTTTGTGGGCGACACGACAGCTAGGGTAGGAATCTTTTCACCTTCTAACGCAATAAAACCAACGAAATTGTACACACACACAAAACCAACGACATTGTACACACACACATAAAACCAACGACATTGTACACACACACAAAACCAACGACATTGTACACACACACAAAACCAACGACATTGTACACACACTCACACACACAATCAACGACATTGTACACACACACGACAGGCACAGCTGAAAACCTAGCAAGACTAATCTCTGAGTAAACTGTAGACGCATTCCTGCACACAGTCCAGACTGCTGGGATGTTTGAAGATCTGCCTCGACTGCTCAAACTACAAGCTACTTTAGGCCCGTCAACATGAATGCTAGGACACTGCGTCGGCTCTAGTGTGTTTTGTGACAACCAGACAAACCTGTGCACCGTCTCCCCTACATCTGGTAACAACTGCCACAGATTGTAGAATTAAGAAACTAGTCGGCACAGTAACAACAATGTTGCGTCACTTGACTGATGTTTGCCGAGAAGACTCGCTGCAGACCGAGGGGTCATGAACTCTATGAGTTTCTTACACGGACTCGTTCTGTCGCAAACATCTTGTTAGTACCCGGTACGTCTCCAGTAAACACCCAGGGGGGTTGCCTCTTACCTGTAGTCCTGTGTCAGAAACCGAGGTTGACGTGTGGATGCCCCGGAGCGGAGAGACTCCTACTTGTCTCGGACAAGGACGATCAACTAGCAGAAGTGGGGACAAACAGGACTTGTTGGTCACAAACCAAACACGGAGCCAGCAGAACCAGTGTGCACCCCCCATCCACTGGTGTATAAGGCAGGCAAATAAGTTACTGCGCAACTGGGGAAGGGGCACAAATGTGGGAGCTTGGACCTTTACAGTTCAACACCTCTCTCTCACCCACCCACCTATTAGGTAAGAAAACGTGAAGGAACTCCCAAACCCCACCTTCGTCACTGATTTACACACATTGTTTAGGCAAACAGGGGTGGGAGGTGCAGGGGTTAGATCAATGAATGTCCCTCCCAGGGATGGGGGGGGGGGAATTCAGAGGGAAAAAGGGAGGGGTGGGTGGCAGTGTTGAGCACCCTTTAGTCACCAAAAATTGTGTCAAGGTCATTCTTTATTCACGCCATGAAAAGGACAACACTGCAACAGATCTCCGCGTGTCGGTTCCGGGTCTCTATTATGGGGGGGGGGGGGGGGGGGGGTTTAGAACCACTGCTCACCCAAAAGCATGTCGTGAGAGTCGACTAATTGGGAGCTTTCTTCGAAGTCGGAGTGCATCTGTCTAAGAAGCAAGGAACCAGCAATTTGCATACAAATGAGTCAGATCTGTAAAACGGATGCACACGTAACACTCAGGTTCTGGAACAGGACTGCAGTCCGAAAGTGGATGAACATTCAGAACTTCCCGCCAGAGTTAACAGCTGGAGAACAACCAGAACTTCCCGCCAGAGTTAACAGCTGATGAACAACCAGAACTTCCCGCCAGAGTTAACAGCTGGAGAACAACCAGAACTTCCCGCCAGAGTTAACAGCTGATGAACAACCAGAACTTCCCGCCAGAGTTAACAGCTGATGAACAACCAGAACTTCCCGCCAGAGTTAACAGCTGGAGAACAACCAGAACTTCCCGCCAGAGTTAACAGCTGATAAACAACCAGAACTTCCCGCCAGAGTTAACAGCTGGAGAACAACCAGAACTTCCCGCCAGAGTTAACAGCTGATGAACAACCAGAACTTCCCGCCAGAGTTAACAGCTGATGAACAACCAGAACTTCCCGCCAGAGTTAACAGCTGATGAACAACCAGAACTTCCCGCCAGAGTTAACAGCTGGAGAACAACCAGAACTTCCCGCCAGAGTTAACAGCTGGAGAACAGGAAGAAGAAGAACTGCAACAGAATGTTGGTCACGCCATGATTATCAAATATCTTCTTCGCGTCCACCGGTTGTAAACTCTGCCGGAAAGTTCTGGTTGCTCGTCCACCTCTGAACTTTAGTCTTGTTCCAGAACTTACAATTCCATTTTACAAACCTGGACTTGTGTGCAGACTGCAGGTTCCTTGCCTCTCAGGCAGATACGTTCCCACTTCGAAGAAAGCCCCCAATTAGTCGACTCTTACGACATGCTTGTTGAGGAAGCAGTGGATTCGACTCTTACGACATGCTTGTTGGGGAAGGGGAGACAGTGGATTTGACTATTAAGACATGCTTGTTGGGGAAGCAGTGGATTCGACTATTAAGACATGCTTGTTGGGGAGGCAGTGGATTCGACTATTAAGACATGCTTGTTGGGGAAGGGGAGACAGTGGATTCGACTATTAAGACATGCTTGTTGGGGAAGGGGAGACAGTGGATTTGACTATTAAGACGTGTTTGTTGGGGAAGGGGAGACAGTGGATTCGACTATTAAGACATGTTTGTTGGGGAGGCAGTAGATCTATTCATGTTTTTTTTCCCAATAATGGGGCCCCGGAACCCACACGGTGCTACATCGAATATAAATTTACATTTGTATATATGTGTTTTGTTGTTTGTATGTGTAGAAGTGTGCAACTGCGGGGTATTCAAGCACATGTCGAAAGACTGTTGAACACAAGCTATCAGAGCTGTGAATACCAACCAGGTCACGTGGAACATTCGCTTCGATAACTTTGAGAAGTACAGCGGCCTATCCTCGGTCCCAGCTACAGTGAAGAAATCAAAGTCAGATATGAAAAAAGAACATGATTGTCCATGTGTACTCAATACAATCTGTACAACTGTTGGTTCAACCCGGCCGGGCAGTAGGTCGCGGTTCAACCTTCAACCAGCAGGTTGGCTTCCAGCGCTGCTGAGGACGGACAGGTCAGCTGGGGGAAATAGGTCAGCAGCCAGCGCACAACTGAAACAGGCTCTAGAGCTCATTACTGATTCCCTGTCACATTAATGCAGGCTTTTGGGATTGATTAGCTTCCAGAGAACGATACAGTGGAAACAATTGGAATCTTAAAGATAAGAACAGACAACATAAATCTGCCAGACGTATAGATGGAGACATAAAAATTGTTAGAGCTTTCAATATTTCATTGATATCATCCGATTATCTTTGACAACATGCAACGAGTTATAACATGTATATTCCAGATGTAGTATCACAGAGTATCAGAAACTATCACTATATCATGGAATATTCCATATACAATCCTATATGACAGAATGCTACACACAACTATCACAGTGCTCTAGCATGGAATATCACATACACTATCATAACATACCTCCTATACATAGACTATCATAGCACACCACATACGCTATCATAACATACCACCTATACATAGACTATCATAGCACACCACATACACTATCATAACATACCACCTATACATAGACTATCATAGCACACCACATACACTATCATTACATACCACCTATACATAGACTATTATAGCACACCACATACACTATCATAACATACCACATACACTATCATAACATACCACCTATTCATAGACTATCATAGACACACCACATACACTATCATAACATACCACCTATACATAGACTATCATAGACACACCACATACACTATCATATCATACCACCTATACATAGACTATCATAGACACACCACATACACTATCATAACATATCACCTATACATAGACTATCATAGACACACCACATTCACTATCATAACATACCACCTATACATAGACTATCATAGACACACCACATACACTATCATAACATACCACCTATACATAGACTATCATAGACACACCACACACACTATCATAACATACCACCTATACATATACACACCACATACACTATCATAACATACCACCTATACATAGACTATCATAGACACACCACATACACTATCATAACATACCACCTATACATAGACTATCATAGACACACCACATACACTATCATAACATACCACCTATACATAGACTATCATAGACACACCACATACACTATCATAACATACCACCTATACATAGCACACCACATACACTATCATAACATACCACCTATACATAGACTATCATAGACACACCACATACACTATCATAACATACCACCTATACATAGACTATCATAGACACACCACATAGACTATCATAACATACCACCTATACATAGCACACCACATACACTATCATAACATACCACCTATACATAGACTATCATAGACACACCACATACACTATCATAACATACCACCTATACATAGACTATCATAGACACACCACATACACTATCATAACATACCACCTATACATAGCACACCACATACACTATCATAACATACCACCTATACATAGCACACCACATACACTATCACAGCTACAATAGCCACTTCTATTTTTTAATGCTGTTTTTGAGAAGCTGAAATTACCAATGAAATATTCATTATAACAGGAGTTGGAAAAGTCCACCACAGGCTTCAAGATATGACTACACAAAACTTTATATTGTCAAATACCTTGTGTAGTGTG